TGAGTGCGAGATTGTGAAAGCGGTGGGAAAACTGGAACAAAAAATTTGTTGGAATTAGTGGCAAACCATTTCTTCCTTTGACTGAAAAGCAAAGTACTCACTGAAAGGTGTGTCTCTTCCTGGATACTGAACTTGCTTTTGTATTAAACTCACCAGTTCTCCTGCTGAATTTCAGTAGCCATCACATCTACGTGACAATACAAAGCTCTGTGGCTGTGACACTGATTTCACTGATCTCTCTGCTCTAGAGAGCAAGCTGAGTAGAGGGTACAGCTGACTCTCTGCATGATTTGCTTGAGGGCAGCACTAATGAGAAACCCCTAATGTGAAATAAAAAGAGCTGGTAACTGGGGGGAAAAAATTCAATGAATGATTAAAAAGGAAGATTCAGCTCAGCTGCTCCCACAGGAAGTTTGCTGACCAGCTTTTTTCTTTTTGATATGGCTACAGATCAGCAGTTCACACTCTGTATTACAGACCTTTTTTCTAAAGCTTGCCAGCACCACTTTCCAAACACTAGCAGCATGTTCTTGCTCGATATGGGCAGGCAGTTGCTGAATTTGTGAGATCAGAGTCTGGGTGTTTATTGGTGGCAAGAGAGTATTTTTCTGTGAATCAGTAGTGTAAAGAAGTGAGTGTACTTAACAAACAATCAGAGGAAATAAATTTCAACATTTTGTATCAACAAACATGGATGCAGTGTGATATCTTTAAGAATCAAATAAGAGTCTTCATTCTCTAAAGCAACACTACTCTCTTATTACCAAGTAGTTTCTGTAAAATTATGTATCAGTAGATAAGGTGTTTTTATATCCTGCCTTCTCAAGTGACCTGATTCAGAGCTCTCAGTAAGAAAGACATAGCAGGGTCAAGGCAAAGAGCTCTTCTTCTGCCTCCTTCTATACAAAATGTTCAACCTGTCTGCACTACACTTTGATATCAGTTTTAATATCTTTCCATAGCAAAATAAGAAATATGTTTTCCTTTAGATTACTGAGATCTGATAACTTGTGTGATCTGATAACTTTGACTGAAATCAGGTCATTCATTAATTTAACATAATGACAGGGTGTTTGCAGTACCTTTTGAATAAGCAATTAAAAGGAAGTATAGAAGACTGTTCCTTGTGAAATATTGGTAAATGACTGACCTTTATTTACTGTGAATGAAATTCAAGCTAAACATAGTTTATCTTTGTTAATGTTGAGGCTGTATAGTCAGAAAAATGGAAGTTAGGTATAATGTGTTTTATTAGCTGCAATGATTAGTAGCAGACAAAAGAAAAAGCAACAAAGAATTCAAGAAAGCCTTATCACACATCAGGCAATCAGTGATGGCACATCTTTTGTCTGAAGAATGTATGTGCATTTTTTCTTTTACTAGACAGGTATGTCTGAAGGAAAAAGAAAAGCAGAGTGAATATAGCCTGGGAGAAGTGAAATGTAAGGCAGTAGCTAGCAATACACCCCATGTAATCTTAATTCTCACATTGTGGTAAGGTATCCACCCCATTGTTTCTATCTGCCCCATTGTTAAATTCAAGTGTAAACTGGGCACGATTCAAGAATTATGTGATGTCAGTGGATGTTACCTGCATTCACTGTTTTTATCTATTGATGCTGCAGTACTGCAGATAACATTTCAGACCTTGGACTACTAGCTCCAAAGCGATGTTTTCCAGCTGATGTCAGCATTGCTGGTTTGTGACACATTCTGTTCATGCTTCCCTTGAAATTAGTGCTTAAAAGAGACAATTTCACATACTTGAAAGCATAGGTGTGTTTTAATATTTATGGAATTAGATGAATTTTAAAAATCTTCCTAAAAAAGACTCAGTGAGAATTTGCATCGTGAAGTACACATGCTGCAGGTAGAGACCAGTATTTAAAACTGGTTGTTGAAATCATACTAGCATCCTAATTTGTATTTCAAGAAAAAGCTCTTTTTGTATGATGAGCCCAGGGTAAATAAAGCAGAGCGTCTGTCCCATAGTGAACATACAGTGCCATGTCCTGCTTGAGAAGGTGGACAAGGTCTGTATTTCAGACAGTAGGGGTTAAAAACATCCACACAGTCATTCTGTCTCTTGAGATGTGGTAGTTAATGGCTGAAAGGTGACATCTTCATATTCTTGAATCTGCTCTTAAAAGTCGTTGTGGACCTCCTGACTTTGCAAAATCAAGTGGTGGGTTCAGTGGTAACTGAGATTCACTTGACAGCTTTGCACAAAATAGAGGCAGAAAGCTGTTTGCATGCAGTAGCTTTTCAATAGAAGCCACTTGCTCTGGGCCAGGTAGAAGCAACTCTTATTGGTAGCAGATTTTGCTCTCCTCCATCTGGCTTTAATGCAAACTAGCAGTAGGTTAAGCTCACCTGTTCAGCACTACAGTGGATAGGAATGAGATAGATACAGACCTTCAGGGTTAGCTATAAGACAAGATCAGGAGGCACTGCTTTACACCTTCCCTCCACCTTTAGCAAATGTGTGCTAGTGCTGCTAACAAGAAGCATGTGCACAGGTGTGATGACATGAACGGTAAATTGAGAACAGAGGTGTTCAGTTGGATTCATATCCCAAGGTTTACACTGAAGAGAGAGCATCCCTCAAGCGTGTTATCTGTTACTGGTATGTGTTAGAACTATGCTGAAGTTCAGAAATCCACAGTGCTTGATAAGCATGCAGAGAATGCTGTTCATACAGTAGTGATGTCAGTGTTGGCTAGCTATGGCCTGTCTCTCCTCCCAGTGACACGACAAGGCCATGTGCCGTTTCACCCATAAACATGCCGGAATGTAATGCCCACACCTGGGAATACTGCCCCTGGAGATGCTCCCAGCAGCGCAGCTTCTGATGTTGGTCCTTTCAGTCCTGCAGTTTGGCCTCTTGTCAGACCTGGGCTGTAGACTGGAAGAACTGCTCACACAGGGGCACCCAAGTGACTCAGTCTCTCTCTTTGTGCAATTATGTGCCCAGCCATCATCTGGTGGAGAACAGTGGCCACCAGTAGGGCCACAGCTGTCAGAAAATCTCAGTTGGCCCTACTGTTTCCTTCCTGAGTCTGACTGGAAAAGAGCCCTCCAGGAGAGAGAAACAAGGTTACAGCAGGGAAACATCCCAATAGGCTGCAAACTATCTAGGAAAAAAAACCAACAAAAACTTCAGGTGTTGAAGTCATGTTTCCCAAGTGCGCTTTTAAAAAAGAAGTTACTGAGTGACAGGTCAGTCGTATCCTGTATATATTATAGGCTCTTCAGTGGCAGAGCAGATGTTATATAAAAACAAAGGAGCTTGCACCAGTTCTGCTGGACTTTCAGCCCCTGCTCCTCTCTGTAAAAGACTGTATTTTGAGGACTGGCGGAGACGGTTTTCACTGTAAAGAGGCTTTGTCATGCATTTTAAATTATTAGCTCTCATTTTAAAAGCAGAATGCTCTTTCAGCATAGTCCTTTCCAATTTGTAATTTTCCTCATCAGTTCTGCTGTTCTTTGGGACTGCATGAACTGCCTGAGAGCTGTGTGGCCCTGCTGGTGAACCCTTTCTCTTCTAAAGACTGTTGCTACTACTGACTGACCGAGGAAGCATTGAAAAGAATGCCATTCAACTGCTTACTCTTGTTGGTTTTTTTTTGTTTTTGTTTTTGTTTTGTTTTGTTTTTTTTAATGAAAGCTTTTGAATTTTTGTGAAACCCCTAAATTTAGTATTTATGACATAAGTAGCTCACAGGTAAAGACTGACTGAAATTCAGATCATTCAAAATTATGTTTCTCTTCAGATAGCCCCACTAGCAGACAAAGAAGTTGAAAGGGTAATGATTATTATTTGGTAATCCTTACTGTGACTAGTGACTGAGAGAACAAAAGAACAGATAATAGGCCCAAAGATAATAAAAAAAACCCAAACAAATTATATCATGTAAAATCAATGTCACAGTATCCAGAAGTATTTCTGGGAACTAGAATTGCAATCTCCCCCATTACTATTTGATCCAAATCTTTTCATTAGAAAGAAGCAGCAGCTGTATAGATGTAGTTCCCACTCTATCAAATGGCATTGAGTAGTAATGTATCCCATACACCTCTTTAAATCTCTTTCTTAATCAGAAGAATCCTATCTCTTAATTGTGTGTATGCCTTTAGAAAGTGGGATTCATGTTCTTAAATTCAAATATCTTTGTGATTTCTACGCAGGTGTTTTTGTTCCTTGGTGACATACTGATAGTTCCTAAAATATAATTTCATCTCAAAATCTCAAGGTCCTCTTACAAACATTTGATGTATTTCTTTTTTTAATTGTGGATCCTCTGGGTTTGTTGCTGTGTATCTCTGAAAAGACCAATTAAAGGTTATATTTCATAACACTTATTTGAGAAAGCTCTTACCCAAGTCTGTTGGCAGGAAGACTGAGCTTCTTGCACTGCAGGCAAGGTGTTTATTTTTTTCCTTCAGAGGCATATGGGACTATTTTTCTAAGAAGCTAACAGTCCCCACAGGGGACAGATTTTTCATAAGTATTCTGCATGCAAAAGCCCCTTGATTTATATGGCCAGATTTTGAAAATCTGGCCAACTTGTGTATTATGAACATTCCTGCTAATTGGACCTGAAACGTCTGAATCAAAGCATATGTCTAGACTGCAGGAAAAGTAGACTCTGTCTCTGGCCCTTAATCACCAGAGGTGAAGACCAGATGGAGAGTACTGTGGCTCTCTTTTGGCCCAGCTTTCCTTCCCATGGATTTGGAATGTGCAACTGAATCAAAGAGCAATACAGTTCAATTGTGTCTTAAAATGGCTAGCAGCATCTCTCCTGGATTAGTGGAATAGTTAGAATATTGTCTTATCATCTGCCTGTTGGACACAGGGACTTTTATACATTTTCTATCCGGTAGAAAGTGCCGTTCTTAAATTAATAACCCCGTTATCGTCTTCTGAAATCTATCTTAAAATTTAAGGGCAAAATATTAGCAGTTGATTTGCTGTTTTTTCTTCTCTATCTTTACAGCTCCTAGATTGTTTTGTCATCCCAGTGGTGATACTGCTCTCCTGGTTCTTCTTGCTGGTACGATACAAGGCAGTACATTTCATTGGGATCGTGGTCTGCATTCTGGGCATGGGCTGCATGGCAGGAGCAGATGTCCTCGTTGGGAGACAGCAAGGAGCAGGTGAGTAAGGATTAGTGTCTAGTACTGCAAAGCTCTGATCACAGAAACTGTAATTTCGGTTCGGGGCATGGAAAATTGGAAGTTGGCAGGAAATCCTGTGTCTTCATGGATCCAAAGCACTACAACATTCAGGGGTGCTTCATTGTCAGGAGGGATAGAGGAAAAAAAATGGGTCAACAGTTAAAGTTCACCACTTCTGCAAATGAACTTGCTCTGAGCATGCAATGCATGTCATCTTTTATACAGAGGGGCAAACTAAATGCTTGTAGTTCTGCTTAGAGTTAGCAAATCTCAGTTGCTTCCTTTCCAAATTGGCTACATCTCTGAGTATCCTGTCTCTCCTGTCCACTGCTGCTTAACTTTGCTCCTTTTTTGTACAGAGACAAGGTCACTTGCTTGGTACTAGAATACACCAGACCAACTATACTAACTGATTTGTAACACAGCCTCAAAGTAAAGATTTGGGATTTGTGTGCATAACTATTGAGAAGTACCTTCTTGTGCATAAAATGTTCTTTTTCATGCGCAGCATCATACAAAAAATGTGTGCATAGCTATTAATGTAGACTAGACAGAGTTAGATTTCATTGATGAACTTCCTCTGTCTCATTGATTTCTAGCGCCAACACAAATGATGTGGGAAGGCCGAAAATTCTTTTCAAAGGCTGTAAATTAGGCACAGTTTTCATCCTTAATTAAAAGCACTGAATTGTGAGCTGAACATAATACATTGGGATTTAAAATTCTCTCTGAATACAAATGCAAGCACTCTTAAGATCTGCATTTGCCAAGATGCAACTGAACAAAACAAGGAAGTTTGGTAAAGTATTAATTATACCTCCCTGTTCCTTTTTATCTCTGTTCTGAAGACTTCTAGCTCATTGCTCTCCTCCAGAAATACCTTCACCCTACCTATAAAGGAAAGAATATATGTGCAGTCAGGCAGCCAAGGTTGCATTAGCAATGTCTGATTTGGAGGGACTGGGATTTCAGCCCTGGGTTCTGGGAGAAACATCAGGTGTCCCTATAATCTGGAGCATAATGTGCTTGGGCATGTGAGTTGTGGTTCAGCAGAGGCATGCAAGGCATTGGACATCAGCAGAAAAGGCTGAAAAAACTGACACTTCGCAGTCTATCTGCAATAATCAGATATTATTTGCTATATTAGTTACTAAAGCATGAATATAGCTGTTAGGAAATATACCCATAAAAAGAATATCTGTTAACATATGCTGTTGCTTTTTAATTTGGACCTTCACATGAAAGACTGTGTGCTTATTTCTACACAGAGAGAAGACATAAAAGATCAGAGCCACACATGATAGAGTTTGCAGCTTCTTAAAATGGCAAAATGAAATGTATTGAAATATAGGAATATGTTTCCACTTTCTCTTTAACAGAATAAAATAGAGTTGTTGTGACTAAATTGGCTGAAGGGGTAGAACTATGCCTTAAAAATCTGCAAATTAAAAATGAATATTGGCAGCAAAACAGAAGATCTCAAGAAACTTTACATTAAAATGTTCCACAACATTTATGGGTTATTTCTTGGGACTGGGCAAACAAAATTAAGGAGTTTTGATTGTAAAAATACAGTCAAAAGCAGTGAATTTGTATTTGCCCTCAGTGAACTCCTTTGTTATTCCTATATTTTAGGGAGCAAGAAGAATTGACTCTTGTTTGCCATAGTCTGTGAAATCAGTGAATTTTGAGTCTCACAGTCTTTAAGGGTCAGTGAGGTGGGGAAGAGCCATCACAAGCTGCTGTTTGGGGCCATCTTATTTCTGTGAAAATGTTCGATCTTGTGGTGTTTGACTCGTACATGCAAAGGATGTTTGTATCAGCAGTTCAGCAGAGACAAACTCTGAGGTCAAAAGCTCTTTCAGCAGTACTTCTCCAAAGTGCTAGTGAGTGGTTATAATAAATACCACATGAGTGAGCTCAGTGAGGGATGATTAGATCCACTGTGGAACACCAAATGCATCAAGGGTAAGGTTTTCCAAAGTGCTGATGCTTATTTTAAATTAAGGGTATGTGCCATCATCTTCCATGGCTGATTGCAAAAAGGAAAATAAGTGCCAGATCTTAAAAAGATAAATTGACAAATATGAACATACTGTTAGTCGAAGTGTATGCAAAGCTGAAATTCAATGTGAGACTGAATCTAGTAATGTTTATATAGAGACCACGTCTCTGAGTCAAATGATACTGGAGACTAGTCAAGTATTAGTAGGAGTGTTTTGATTATTTTCTCTATTCTTGTTTGTCCCTAAGCAACTTTTCTGGTGCTTATAACTAATTTTGGAGACATTAGGGGAAATCATCCTTGATCAATCCAGTACCCTTGTACGATGCCATGACCAGCTGGGTAGATAAGGGGGGAACAGCGGATGTGGTGTAACTTTACCTCAGCAAGGTGTTTGACACTGTCTCCCACAACATCCTCATAGGCAAGCTAAGGAAGTGTGGGATAGATGAGTGGACACTGAGGTGGATTGAGAACTGGCTGACTGGCAGAGCTCAGATGGTCATGATCGATGGTTCAGAGTCTAGCTGGAGGCCTATAGCTAGCTGTATTCCTCAGGGGTTGGTGCTTGGTCTGGTATTGTTCAACATCTTCGTCAGTGACCTGGATGAAGGGACAGAGTGCACCCTGTGCAAGTCTGCTATGAAACCAAGCTGGGAGGAGTGGCTGACACACCAGAATGTTGTGCTGCCATTCAGCAAGACCTGGATATGCTGGAGAGTTGAGTGAAAAGGGACCTGTTGAGGTTCAACAAGGGCGAGCATAAAGACCTACACCTGGGGAGGGATAATCTCAAGCATCAGTATAGGTTAGGAGCTGAACCACTGGAGAGGAGTAGTGTGGATAAGGACCTGAGCATCCTCAGGTGAACTGCACTTTGTGCATGAGGCAGTGTGCCCTTGTGGCCAAGAAGGCTGATGATATCCTGGGGTACATCAAAAAGAGAGTGGCCAGCAGGTTGAAGGAAGTGATCCTCCCCCTCTATTTTGTACTGGTGAGGCCATATCTGCACTACTGTGTCCAGTTCTGGGCTCCTTAGTTCAAGAAAAGTAGGGAACTTCTAGATACAGTCCAACAGAGTGCCACAGAGATAACGACAGGTCTGGAGCATCTCCCTTATGAGGAAAGGCAGAGAAACCTGGGACTGTTCAGCCTGGAGAAGAGTGAGGAGAGATCTTAACAGTGCTTATAAATATCTAAAGGGCAGGTATGAAGTGCTTTGGGCCAGCTTTCTTTCAACAGTGCCCAGTGACAGAACAAGGGGCCATGAGCACAAACTGGATCATTAGAACTTCCATATGAACATGAGGAAAACCTTCTTTACTGTGAGTGTGACAGAGCACTGACACAGGTAGTCCAGAGGAGCTGTGGAGTCTCTTTCTCTGGAGATATTCAGAACCCAGCTGGATGCTTTCTTGTGCTTTAGGGAACCTGCTTTAACAGGGGATTAGACTTGATGACCTCCAGAGGTCCATTCCAAACCCTATGGTTCTGTGATTCTGAGACAAGATACAGGATTTTTGAATTCTTTTTCTATGACCATTTTATGACCATTGTCATTTCCATAAATTTCTTCTCACTGGGAAGTTCAGAACCTTTTCAAAGGAATTTCCATTATAGCCAGTCTTTCTGACTTTGGTTCTGCAGCAATGTCTGGCAGCTTTGAAAAGCTGTAACTCTAGTAGAAATCATTCAGTAAGCCTTATGTGCAGAGGGAATTGCATGCATCAGGCTGCAAAAACAGGGCCTCAGTTTTCAAGCTGGAACTTAATTTTGATCAAATCTCTCTGCATCCCTCTGGCCCAAAGTAATAAAAGAACCCAAGACTTAAAAAGATTTCAAACATTCTTTGATAATATGGTGGTTTAGTAGTTATATATATCTTAAAGTACTGAAAATATAATTTTCTGTTCATTTTATGAATTAGGTACTGCTATGTTAATTTACCTCCTTTTAAAAAACCTCTATTATCATCACCCTGTCTACACCTCATCCTTCCTTCTCTCTTTATTGTCAAACAATTTCATGTGAGAATGAGGTCAGTGTTGGGGTTGTAATGATTTCTTCATTCATTTCACAGGTACATAAAATTCTTTGTTGGCTTCCCATCTGAATGCCAGGGATGTTTTTGCTTAGATTTCAAAATGAGATGCAAACTGTCCCATTCCACCTGGAAAAAATAAAAGTTAAAATAATAAAATTAAAAGAACTGATCACTGAAGAGTCCTGTAGTTTTCATAAGTTTTTCTTTACATTCAGATTTTCTTACAGAAAAGATAAAATTCTTGCTTCATTTCTGCTAGATTTTCTTGTGATAATTGGATGAAAACTGTTACGACAGAACATTTGTGTTCATCTTATTGATCCAGATAAGAGCTACTTTGTGACTGCGTATTCATATCTACGGGGCAGAACTTACAACAGTTCTAGACAAAAGGTTGTTTTGACATGTTCTGATTTTTCCCCTGTTTATTCCTAGGTGAAAATAAACTGATAGGGGATCTCCTAGTATTGGGTGGAGCAACACTGTACGGCATCTCAAACGTTTGTGAAGAGTATATTGTCCGAAATCTGAGTCGGGTGGAGTTCCTGGGCATGATCGGACTCTTTGGCTCCTTCTTCAGTGGAATCCAGCTGTAAGTGAGCAGGTTTGAACTCTAAGGTCATTCAAATAAGTATAGTTCTGGCTTCCTTTGAGGTACTGTGCCCTACTCTTCAAAGGTAGCCATTTCCTGTGTAGAGTAAGTATCTGCAGATTTGGGAATTTGTTTTTGATATCTGAGATAGCTGGATTTGTACTCAAATCCATCCATATATATATATATATATGTAGCTAAGTACTTTAATTCAATAACTGGTTTTCCGTATGAAAGTCCCATGAGGAGGGGGAAAACACATCCTTATCCTGTATTGCTTGAAGATAAATAAATATTTCACATATTGCTCTGGTCTGTGAACAGGAAACTCTCTACAGCCCTCTACAGTTCTGTTTCATACTTTTTAGAAGTTACTTAGATTGAAAAACACATATGCAGTCAGAAGAGATTTTACTGATTGATTTGTTTTGTGTAATTAAGAAAGATATGGCAGAAATAATGAAAATGTCCTTAAGAAATTGGCTTTTTCACTTTAAAATACTTAGCACTCAGTAGATTGGCACATGGATTTTTGGAGTCATATCCACATGTACCTAATGAGCAGGTACCTCACTGCCAGTATTGCAACACTGTGCCTAATATGCCTGTATTAAAAGTCACCCTGCAAGATCAACACATTTACGGAGATCTGTCACTGGCACTTGTCATACCCAACAGCTTTTGAATATTAGCCAAAAACAAGTTATTTGCCTGCACATCTGAGCTATTCAGCTTTAAGAGCTGAGACTCATCAAAGAAATGGCCCATTGATTTCTACTTAATTAGTTCTGTTTCTTTAGATAGAAAGCTTACTATGTTTATGTAGAATCTGAAAACATGACTTAAAATGTCATGTTTTGGGTAAAGCATTTTTGTTACCTAAATTGTTCATGGTATGTAGGTACTGGCTTGTTCTAAAGTTATCAAGCAGTGCTTTTGTTTTGCTGTGCATTTAAACAGTAATATACAGGTCTCATATTCCTGAATTTAATTATAATACCATTTCAACTCTTCTTGAAGATAGACACAATTGAGTGTCTATAATCTGTTTGTCTGGGAAGAAGAATCTGGTGCTGGCACAAGGTATGTTCATGTACAGAGGACTCAATAGGAAAGAAACTCCAAAAGCCATTTCTTTGCTGAAAGCTTTAAGGAAGCTTCCTGGGGGGAAGAATGTCTCAGAAATAAGGCTTTACCAGCATGCTGGGAAAAGCACTGGTCAAAGTTTGGTTGGCATTCGCAAAGCAGGGATTGGTCTGAAATTGTTTCTGCAGTTGCTCTCTCATAAATTGCTTCTTTCAACTTGCTGGCTAGACTCTTACTAACACAGCTGGTCTTCTCTGCTACATCAACACATTGCTGGCTCCTGTACGCCAGGACTCCAAGCTTGATTTTTACAGTATAGCTTCTTGTCCAGTCAGCTCCCAGCCTGTACTGGTTGCATGGGGATATTTCATCTTAGATGTAGGAGTTCATGTTTGCTTTTCTTGAACTTCATCAGATTTCTGCCAGTCCATTTATCCAGCCTGTTAGGTCATTCTGAATGGCAGCATATCTGCTGCATGGGATGTCCTCTGTGAACTCGGTGACTGTGCATTCCATCCAATCTTCTACATTGATAACATTAATCAGTTGTCAGAAGTTGTCAATCTGCTGATCACTACTTTTTGAACAGTTTTCCATTGATCCTTATGGATAGTCCACCCGTCCAATATATGTCCGTGTATTTTCAATCTCTAAGGATTTTTTGGGAAGTCATGTTGAAAGCTTTGCTAAAGTTGAGGTAGATTACACTCCATCCTCACATGCATTCCTTTTCCATTATCTATGGAGCCAGACATCTCATCATAAAAGGCAACAGGTTTGCTTCTGAAAAATCTGTGCTGACTGTTCCTAGTCAGCTCTTCATTATTAATTGCCTGGAAATGGAACAATTATTCCATTATCTTCCCAAAGTCTAGAGTAAGGTTGGCTAGCAGTAGTTCTTGCTCTTCTTGAAACTGGATATTGTTTTGTCTCTTTTTTCAGTCCTCAGGGAACTCCTTGATCACAACATCCTTTGAAAACTCATCGTGGTTCTATTCTTCAATGAATCAGGCGTCACTAAATGAAGCCCTTTCACAAAGTTGCTCTTACCCCTCTTTGTTTCACAGATCATAATGAAGCACATATCGCAGCATATCAGTTTCTACTTCTTTTGTGTTGGATATGGAACAGTATGAAAGCAATGTTCGTGTATTTAAATAACATCAAAATTTGCTTGCCATAGCAAGACACTGCAGTTTGTATTTACCGGATTGCTGATAAAAGAGACATATGCCTTCTGCGTGCAAAGACACTTTTAATTTAGTTACTCTGCAGACAAAATAATCTCATTATTCTCTCCACAGTATTAAATTTGCCACATATCAGAGGTAAGCAAATTAGAATTTTCAGGATGCAACTCTCTAGATCGTATTTATCTGGAAGGCACTGAGTTCTGTAGTTTTACTGTTAGACTTGGTCACCTACATACCACTTTTTGTGCTAGGTATTTCTTTTTGTAGTGTGTGTAGTCCATGTTTTATGCTTGGTTAAAATAGTGCCCCGACTGCTGTGCAGAGTTCCATACATCTGTCAATCACAGATCAGAAACATCTGCTGTCAGAGTAAGCTTCCTAATTTACAGGGGTCTTTTTTTTGTGACTGGGAAGAACAGACTTTTTGCCACTTGAGAATTTTCTGAGTCTGGTATCTTGATGTTAATGTAAAGTAAGACCTACAAGATGTTGAAAATGGACTTTTGCAGCTTGCCCATCTCTTGTTTTGTTTCCTGACTTTCATTGCCATGACTATTTGCTCTGTCTCAGCATGTAACAAATTACAGCACTCTCCTCAAACCCAGCCTGTGATATCTGCCACCTCATGACAGTGATTTACTCAGCTCTCACTGCAGAGCCACTCTGAAGGGTGAATAACTCAGGCAGATACATTATTAATCATTAAAGTTCAAAAGCTTTCAGAATATTAAGAAGACAAGAGGACTGAACATGAAGGGGGACGAGCACTTTGGAGCAGGTATTCAGAGAGCTGGAAATAAACCAGTGCAAATTGTATGTTATCACATCTTATTACTGCCCTGAAGATCTTTCAAACACATAGGAATAGGGTGGATTAGCAAATTCTGATTGCATTTGGTTCCTACAGAGACTTTTTGTTATAAGGCTGTTTATGTTGTTTTGTCCAGCATTTGAATTGAATGAGTAGAAGTAATTTAACTTCTGTTCCCTTTCATCAGATTTTGCCTTCTCTTTTCTTACAGTGCAATCATGGAACACAAAGAGCTGTTGAAGGTTCCCTGGGACTGGCAAATAGGTAAGAAAACTCTTTACCTCATTGAAGATAGTTGCTGAAGGAGGTATGGAGCCAACCGATTTTTGGAGAAGCAGGCACACACAAGCCAATGTTTGTGATTTTTGCACTGATGTCTGCCAAAGGTTGAAGCACATGTCCTACAACCATTCTTAACTGATTTGTTCCCTAACTGTTCTTCCCTTGCACCTTTAGGTTAAGCAACAGAGAAGTGCTTATGAATAAGATAATTATTCACATAGCTGTGGAGTAAAATAATAATGGTGTTCTATTCTGAGATTCAGTGCAACACTGAGACAAATAAATGAGGTAGTTACAAAGAACCAAGCCTTTTCAATGAATACCAAAGAAAGAAAATGAGACCTAACAAAAAACTTCAAAAGTTCTTGTAATACATATTGTAGCATCTTAAACACATTTCCAAGGGACCATTTCTGTATGCAAGTGGTTAACTGATTTTCAATTAGTCTTGGTGGAATATAGCAGATATGTCTTTAAGATGTGTAACAAATAGCATCATGCACAGTGAAGCTCTTACAGTGTTTTGCTAGTCAGTGAATTTCATTTTCCCGTTTCACTTGGGAAGCTGAGTTTCTGATCTAAGACTCCCTTCTAATTAGTCCAACAACTTACTTGCTTTGAAAGGAAATCAACATTTTGAACATGAGTCCCTGTAATTACTCTTTTAGCATTTACAACAATAGAAGAAAAAAATGAGTGCTAATAATACAGACCAGGGAATTCAAGTTTTGGCAATCCATTGGAAATGGCTTGTTAGCTAGTATTAGAATGAACATCAAGATAAAAACTTGGAAGTGTGCAAGGGCAACTGACTACGTGGGAATCCCTGAGAATAGGAAATACAACTCTTGGATTTCACTACTGTTTTCTTTAAACAGACTTCAACATTTCCTCTCATTATCCTATTTAAAAAGAGTGCATCTTCCATAAAATATTCCATATAGGAGATTTGATGGTTGTGCTGTAGTACTAGATGGCATCAATTACACTGTCTATGGAGAACTATGCTCAACTGCATCCTATAAATGTATTGTCCTTCTTTAAACTGCAGTTGTTAGCATAACTGCAGCACTGTTTGTTTATACTTCATGATAAGGAGTTCAGGGACATAGTTAATCCGATACCAATGGAACTAGCAATGGCCATCATGAGTTTACTTACTATACATGTAAATGTCATATATACTTTCTTAGGAGTTCTTTTGTATCTCAGTATCAGTGGAATGCGCCATTAAAATAAAATTTTGTCTATGACATTAAAATGTCATCAAAAGTTAGTCAATGAGACCATCTTAGCAAGGTCATCACGTATGTAAAAATTGTGCAGTTAAACACAGATGAATTTGCAATAATTACATCTTTTTTTGTTCTTTCTGGCTTCCTACACACCTACTTGTTGTGCTTTCTATTGTATTGACAGTGATACAAAACTGTCAAGTAGTTATTGACAAATCTATGTCAGGGTGTTCACAGCGTTGTCCTAAGTAGTTATCTACTATAGCATACTTAAACCTGCAGAACAACGGAGTTAAATCACCAGCCTTCTCAATGGCAATGTTAAAGTCACAGCAGGCAACCTAATAAATAACTCAAGGTGGCCCGTTGCCATCTGCCATAATTGTGTCATGAAGAATGTACGAGCAACCTTTCAGTTGATGCAAAATGCAAATGAATTTGGAATATAAAGATCTAAAGCCAACCAATTTGCTCAGTGACATGATTTAGCAGAGGTTTGTTAGAGTTCGGGTAGTATGGTTAGGTTGCGGTTGGACTCAATGATCTTTAAGATCTTTTCCAACCTGAGCAATTCTATGATTCTATGATCTTTGTCTAATGTGCTTAAAACAGACTGGGGCCCTCATGATTTTAATTTTCAAAATTCCTTCAATACATTGTATCATCTTTGCAGTTAGTATAAATCAGTGTAGCTCTATTTAAATCTTCGAAGGTTTAAATGTTAATAATTGCTGAGGATCTCATTGAACAGAGAATGATTATATCATGCCAATTGAACGGTTTAAAGGAAGACCAGGACATGATTGTAGAATAACACATGAAATAATAACGAATAAACAAAAAACGCTTTTGTTCAAAAAGCCAGTTTGATGATCCTGGGAGGTGTTCCATGTTACAGAAGATCTGAATGCTTTTGAATACTCTTTACTTCAAAGGATCAGTGTAAAAAGAACGGTTGATTCAATTTCATGCAAGGAAACAATAATTTTTGGATTAAAAATGTCAGGTCTAGAACATGGAACATACAACAACACACTCAGATGAAAGAAGAGTTCCCAAGGCATGTTAGTCTTGTTGGGACTCCTTAGAGTAGTCCATGGGGGTAGGTCTTGCTTGTTTCTGTGAAGATGCCCTATCTTAAGACATGTAAGGATATACTGGGGCACTGGGGCTTGTTGAGCCTGCAGAAGAGAAAGTTTCAAATAGCTATACACAAGGAGGCTGTTAGAAGGACAGAGCTAAGGTCTTCACATTAGTGCAGAGCATAATGCAATGGAAGGAGGATAGACAACAAGAAGAAATTGATATAATGGATTCAAGATGGATAAGAAGAAAACCTTTTTCACATTGACAGCAGGCAGGCAGTGGAGCAAGTTACCCAGGGAGGTTGTGCCGACATTAGCGGTCAGTCTGAACAAAGCCCTGAGCAACTTTGTGTGATCTCACAGCTGAGTCTGGTGTAAGCAGGGGTTGAACTTGAGACCGCTGAGCTCTCTTCCAACCTGAATTGCCGCACAATTCTATGATCCTGTGTTCCCATTTCTGACCTTCACCACACACTCGCTCTCAACCATGCAAAAGTGGTGACATTGCTCATCAGGATGAGCGCTGAAAGTAAAGATAGGATTCCTTGCACCAGCTTTAGACATCTGGGATGTGGATAACTGATGTAGTTGGACAGAATCTTTTTATCACGAGCAGAAAGAATTAGGCATGACACAAATCATACTGTGCTAAAGCTGGTGTTTAAAAGAGGTTAGACAACCAGCACCCTAAAACTTCCAAATCTCCTCATGGGGCACCAATCCCCAGTATGTGTCCAGACTTAAGTGTAGCAAATCCTACCCACAGCCACCTTCATACATATTAATCCTTCAGACCAGGACAGTATCTCAAAGCATGCAGTTCTGAATGATGAATTTATCGGGGCTTAAAACAGCTAAGTTCATGAGCAGATCATTGCAAAAGCACCTTCTAGCTTTCCAGTTTCCTTCTTTCCCATGCCTGCTTCAGGCAGTCAGTCCTGGTGACTCAGTGCCTGGCTAGGCACATGTTCTGGCATTTGGGTCTTCAGCACTAGTGGTGATTCCCAAGGTTGCCATTAGCACTGCAGTGGCACTCAAGGAAGCTGAGACTGAAAGCCTTTGAATTAAAACATATTTCTGTTGTGAAAACTCGGCTTCTAGAAACGCTATCTGAAAATCATACGTTACTTCCATCTTGATTATTGTCACCAATAGTTGCTATCTATCTGGTGCATATTGCTTGCATTTTTACACTGTAAGTAAAATGCCACTTTACATTTACCTCTGATAAGACAAATACAGTTTAAAAAGCTTTCCACTGATATTGAAATGCCCTTTGGAAAAGCAACCTGTGGAATGCATGTAACTGCCTGCCAAAGAATATGAACACCAAGACAGCAGTATAAAACTATACTGTAATTGAGAGTGTAACCCTTCAAAACACTTGAATATGCCTGTTAAATCCGAAAGGACTAACGGGCTTGGTGGGCCAGCTGGTGGTTTTCAGACTGTACTTTGAGAATGCTGACATGAAAACTGTCTTGTTTTCAGCTGAAACAGAGTTATTTTCTTCATAGAGTCTGATGTGATGCTGTATTTTGGCTATAGCAGAGGAAAACAATGTTGATTACACATTGATGTTTTAGCTGAGCAGTGCTGTACAGAGTCAAGGACATTTTAGTTTGGCCCAGAGTGGCCAAAGAGATAATCCACACTAAGTGGCATCATGAGAAAAAAGCACAGAACTGAGAGGAGTTGGCTGGGGGTGCAGCCAATGCTCAAGAACTGACTGCATTGGTCAGCAAGTGGTGAGAAATTGTGTTGTGCATTGCTTGTTTTCTATATATTATTATCATTACTATTATTTCTGTCTTCTTTTTCTGTCTTGGCAAATAGTTTTTATCTCAACCCAGGACTTCTACTACTTTTTTTTTTCCTAGTTCTCTCCTGTATCCACTGGGAGGAGGGGGTGTGAGTGAATGAATGGCTGTGCTGTTTAGCTGCTTGCTGGGTTAAACCATGACAGAGAACAGAATGGTTTCTGTGCCTGGCCTGTTCTTGACTTAAGACTGAAAGAAAAGCCAACTTAATGGTCGTCTGCATACAATTTCTCATTGATCAAAACTGTGCTCCATTTGATGCAATCTACTACTGCAGAAGAATTCCAGATTTTGTATAAAGCAACTCTGCCATATACAACGTGCACCTTAAAAAATGGCTACCTTTTAATAAAAGCAGCTCTTACCATGGTTATACACATTCTGAATATAAATGCTGATTTGTTATTATGCCATAGAAACTGATATATGGACAGTGACATTTCCTGAGTGCTGTATTTGTTTCAGGTTAATGTATACTTCAGTTCAAATGCTTCAGAGGAATTAAAGCTATCACAGTTGATTTTGTCTTTTAGATGGCTTTTCTAAAGAGTTTTTAACTATGTGGAACATTGTAAGGACTTCGGGTTCTGTTTTATGCTTATGTTTTTATTTTCTACTAATTCCTTTCAGGACTTTGGCAATCAGATTTTCTGCAACATGTAGTCAATCACGTGCTCTGAAAAGCTGGCATGTGTCCAAATTTAGGTTCATGCATACACCAGCTGGGAATTCTGCAGCATATATCAGCCTAAGAATTATCATTTGCATTATAACAGATGAGTGAAGTGTTTGCTGTTTTTTTAACTTCTCATTGATTTATTTGCCTTGGGATTTATCAAGTAATAACTGAAGGGATGAATTCTTTCCCAGTAAGTCATTTAGTTAGTTATTTAGTTTTTAAAATGAAATTAGATTTTTACTGTAATATATTTTTATTATATTAGCCTCTAACAATCTAATTGTGTGAGTCAGTCTGTAAGCACGTAGCAAGGAGCAGTCTCAGCACCAGAAAGCTTTATTAAGGAAGTCTGACAACAAGTAGTAGGGAATGGAGGCACAAAACTGTGATTTGTCAAGTTTGGTGCAAAACTGACTTGAGTGCTCTCCTCACATGTTTATCTGTTGGTTTATTAACTATTGTGAAAGTACTTTTGCATACATCTTGTGGGCTGATTCCTAGAAAATGCTGTGTGCTCCCTCCGATCAGTGGAACTCAGTGGCTTCTGGGGACAGTTGTTTCTTAAAAGACTAGATTTGATATGTCTGAATATGTAATTTCACCTGAATTTATGTTGAATTTGGGATATTTGCTAGCAATATAAGACACCAATTTAAAATAGCACTGCTGTTATGGGAATCACAGGGAGCGTACCAAATGTTCAATACTGAATAGATGTGGCTTTCTCTAGTTTTCATATATATTTAGGATAATGCTCCTAGTGTACAAATACATACATATTTACATATATGCCTTTTAATAATCTGAATCCATATTTTTTTGAAAAAGTATTCTTTTGTAAAATAGATCCTTATTCCCTCCAGCATAAGTCATTTCTACAGGCTGTGAAAGGTCACTCTTGTTGTCTCTCTTCTGCAGGCTTGTTGTATGTCGGCTTTAGTGCCTGTATGTTTGGCCTCTACAGCTTTATGCCAGTGGTCATAAAGAAGACCAGTGCTACTGCTGTCAACCTCTCCCTACTCACAGCTGACCTATACAGCCTTTTCTGTGGATTATTCCTCTTCCACTACAAGGTATGTGCAAATGAGAGGTGCATTTGTGTAACAGCTGTATGCCTGTACAAATAGCAGTGCAGAACTATGAAGGTGAGCTGTAGAGCTTCTACCATTCAATGTGAAGATGAGAAGAATTCATAGCGGCCTTTCAGTACCTAAGTAGAGTCTACGAGAAAGTTGGAGGGGGATTTTTTACAAGAGCCTGTATTGATAGGACAGGGGATAATGGCTTTAAACTAAGAGGGTAGATTTAGGTTAGACACTAGAAAGAAGTTTTCTGCTATCAGAGTGGTGAGGCTTTGGAACAGGTTGCCCAGGGAAGTTGTGGATGCACCGTTATTGGAAATGTTCAAGGCCAAGTTGGATGCGGCTTTGAGCAGCCTGGTCTAATGGAAAATGTCCCAGCCCATGACAGTGGGGGTTGAACTAAATAATTCTATGATTCAGTGATTCTACTGTCCCTCATAGTATCCTTCTGGACAGAATCCTCAGTGTACAGCTAGACAAATATATCATATCATATCAATATATATATATATATGGCTGATGTGTTAGGCTCAAAAGATTGAAGTAAATGGAGTTACATCAGGCTGGTGGCCAGTCAGTAGTGGAGTTCCACAGAGCTTCATTTTAGAGCCATTCCCTTTAATGTTTTCACAAATGACTTGGATGCAGGATTCAAATGTATATAAAGTAAGTTTGCAGACAACGCCAAATTAGGATGAGCTGTTAAATCACTTGAGGTACAGAGGCTTTGTTTCATTTCATAACGATTCTGAAATTATGACTCATAACTGTCCATGAATTACAGCCAGCCAAATCAGTGTCTTGCCTTTCAGCATTAAAATGTCAAAATGTGCAGCAGATTTATGTTGAAGTTAAACTTTTATCTCTCAGTTCCTCTAATATTTAAAAGGTTGTTTTGTACAACCACACATTTGGTCTCCATTTGCAAGAGACTGCACTGCATTATTAATGAGCAGCCCTACAGTGATTATTATATGAAAGTGGCACCAGGATGCTGGAGACAACTGCTTCATACTATCTCATTTGTGTGTAAGAGGGAGGTTACTTGTTAGCTAAATTGGTGGCCAATGTGAGTGTTAGGTAAATGGAAGCCTAAAAATACTGATTACTTAATCAAGCCGAATCAGATTTTGTAATACTAATGGTGCCTGTGTGAATTTGAAAGAGACAGAGAAAATTCAAATCTTTGCAGTCCCAAACAAAATCCTTTTTCTTCATTGCTTCTTCTTTTCTTTAGGCAGAAGAAAGGCAAATACAGAAACTGAAATGCAAATGTTCTCTGCTGCTTTACAGGTCTGCTTCATGGTGATTTGGTTCTGCCCCATACTTTAAATCCAGAATATTCAAAATTAGGTATTAGCTGAGAATTATAAGCCCCCACTAATAATATTTGATAATCATAATAAAATAGGTGATTTTAGTCAAGTATTTCTAAGAAGGATGTTTATACTACACGATAAAGGACAGACAAATTTAACTCTGCAAATAGTAGCAGTGGTGTTTTAACGAAATCAGTCTTTCAGAGGGAGAGACTTGAAAGACAGTATGTTTGGGATGATTTTCTGCTCATATTTGCTAAACATGACCAAAAAAAAAGTCAATTTTGCAAAAGTAAAATTCCACTCATGGATTGGGTCAGAAATATCCTTTGCGTGAAGAACACCTCTGTCTCCTTCACATTTTTACATTGATAGATAACAAAGAGCAGTATTATCATCTCTCAGCCCCTAATTCTCTAGTCAAAGCAAGCAATAGTCTTTAATTCTTTCCTTGTAGTTTGGACCATCTGTTCCTCTGTTCTCCTCCTATCCAGAGAAAATTCATCCTTCCTGAGTTAGTCCCTTCTGCTCTTGAAGCAGGAAGGGCCCTGTGTCATTATCAACTTGTGAAATGCTCTTGTCTCTCAAATTCTTTGGTAAACATTACTCCATAAATATTAACATTTTATGTACTTTTTCATTCATGTTTTGTATTTGTTATTTGTATGTAATCTGTATAACTTGTGTGTGTCTACTTTATTCTTCATTTATATTTAATCTGTGTAACTCGTGTGTCTCCTTTGTTCTCCCTAGCTGAAGTGCTGATAAGGAGAAGACCTTTGTTAGAACTTGACAGAAAGACCTTTACCTGAAATGTAGTATCAGCTTCCAGAGCTGTCAGAGCTGTCTTCATGCCCTTCAAACTCAAATTGCAGAGAAAAGTTAAAAACAGACTCTATATTAAGAGAGAGTATCCAGAGTTAAAACTCTACTTAATAATCTGATCACTTCTTTAGTTACTATGTTTTTATCCTTAGACAGATCATTTCTTACTTTTCTTTCTGGTTTGCTATCAGATATCATTTTATGTGATGCTATGCACTCAAGAACAAAGTCTCATATGTTAAACTATCTAAACTTGTTCACCTATGACTGTGTACTCTTGCTAGTTTTCTACCTTCAAAAAAGCTGTTTCATTCCCAGCCCAGCTGTATGTCGCCTTCAAATGCAGAGCTCCTTCTGCTTATTGCTGTGCTGACCAATGCGCAAAGTCCCACTTCACTAGAAAGCAAAAGGTTTTATGCTGAATTAGGATCGACTGAGTGGTTTAGTGCCCCTTGCAGAATATTATTTTACGAGGCTTACCAGAAACAGTTACAGTTATTCCCTGTGCTGCTGCTTCTATCAATGAACAAGTTTATTGCGTCTGTAGCACTAACTCTATGAAAATCCATGGAAAACACAGGAAATTTAAGTGGGCCTCAGAGCCTTTGAAACCAAACTGAGGAGATTGCATTTGAAGTATTTTGATTGGCTAGCATTTTATCTTTGATTATACAGACTTGCAACATCATGGCATAAAGGACAGCTGGTATTTATATCCTTCATCCTGTATGCCAGTGTCTTTGTATTGTACTGAGCAGTTTTCAGGCCTGTAGAAGTTATGAATAAAGTATGTTAACCTGACACAGCACTGGTGATAAGTTCATCATTCAATATGTTATTTGTTCAAGAAGCTGTTGTATTTAAACATAATGATTTATGACTTTCAACTTAAGATGGATACTAACTAGATTGTAGTGACTCATTCTTAAGGTTATCTGCAGCCCCCAAATTACAGCTCAGTTTTTAGATCTTTTTTTAAATCAGTAACTGAGTTCAAATATTCCATTGGATGGGAAAAGATATTTGGCCTGTTTGGTGGCTGAATATTGGCTAATGCAGTAGAGTTTAACAAACATTTCATCATCTTCAATCTTTCTTTTTTTTTTTATTCTCACCACAGTTATATATTTTATGCAATTTTAATGTTCAAAACTTCTCTGGCTGTCTCTTCTCATTTCACCTTCTTCTTAAGCACAATTAAACAATCTCCTGCTTTGAAAAACAAAGGCAATCAGAACTCTAAAACAAAGGTTTTGTTATTATTATTATTTCATCCTATACCAACACAGCATCCATCTTCATCTCATGTCTTTCAAGCTCGTTTTTTGGTTTCTTGATCCCTATGAAAATCAGTGGTCCCAACAGTACTGAAGTCAGCCTGCATAAGACTCATTCCCACCAAGCACAGGCAGGAGAAGCGTCCAGTGCCCTCCCAGTGTGCAGAATGAACCTGTGCAGCAGAGCCTAGGGTCTGTTTTGCTGGCTGGGTTTCACCTGTGCTTATGGTAAATGTGTATAATTGATAATAAACAGCTTTGAAACCAAACAGGAGGATGCAATGAGAGATATGCTGTGTATGAGGGTGTCTACTCATAGTGTGCAGGAAATTTCAAATTCTGAGTAACAGAACAGCCCTTGCTTTGTCAGAGGCTGAAATAGCCTTTATTTGTTGGCAGTACACTAATGCCAGAGCTGTTGGGAAATTCAGGGCCAACTCTCCAGCTGTAAGGGATTGGATCCTTAATGTAACTATTATTTTTCAGCTTAGAATGTGTTAATTTTTGCATTTTATCCTCAGCCTTGGCTTTATTTTAATGTGAATTTTTAGAGTTCATTGTTTTCATTTGCAAGCTTATGTTGTGCTTTAGTCATTCTAAGCAATTTGCATTCTCATTAAATGATCTAAGCAGCTCATTTTATGTTTTCCACCAACTAGAGCATGCATACTGATTATGCTCTGCACTAGCAGGTCACACTGTGTTTTATCATTACCTAGCAATCCAGGCAGCATCTGGATTCTGCATCAGTATTCTGCCTTGGCAAAATCATTCATTATTTTATCCAAGATTTAGCTATTAAAAAAATCAGAATTTCTGCATATAGTAATAATTTCCAACTGAAAAAAATATATATATTTCATAATAAGGAAGTCATATATCTCATGAACAGTAACACTGTCAAAGAATTTGGCTACACAATTAAACATGATACTTAAAACCTTTCAGCACTAGAAATCTGAAGTGGTGCTGGTTGAAAATTCGTTAATTGATGCATCCAGAAATAGCTTTTTAATGCCAGTTCTAACAGCAGTGCTTCTTTAATGGAAGGGAGCAGCTGACAACCTTTCCATTGCATCTGGAAACAAGCTATAAGGGAGAGTGGTTTTTATCATAATAGAGAAGAGGAGCTCTAAATATCAATTTCATTTTTTCCCGTATGGATCCTAAGCAACATGAGTTGTGGAAGTACGTAGGCTTGACTGAGATTGTGGCCCCCATTGGAAATAAAGGCGAAGTAGGAAGAAACCCTTAATTCCTAATTAGGAGCTTCTTTTAAAAGTATCTTCTCTACCATCCTGATCCAAGATTGCTGAATCCAGTATGAGATTTTCTGCTGGCTTCAGTGGCCTTTAATTCGCTTTCGTAAGTAAGGAAAGTCTACCATGCAAAGAATGTTCTTAAAAACACTTCGCAGCTTAATGGCTGTGGAGATAAAGACCATGCTTTGTTGTAACTTGGTGTGCTCTATTTCAGCATATGAACAATTTGAAAGAAGCAGATAGTCATCTGCATAAATAATTATTTTAAAGAAAATCTTCTTTTAAAGAAAAATTCTAAAGAACATTAT